ATAGATAGATAGATAGATAGATAGATAGATAGATAGATAGATAGATAGATAGATAGATAGATAGATAGATAGATAGATAGATAGATTTCTAATTAAATAACTATCAGTTTGATGCATGTTCATTCAACCTTTATTTAGACAGGTTAATGTGCACATGTTCTACCTGTAAAAATTAAATGAATCAACATAAATGAATTCCAGTGGGCATATCTCGCCCTGCTCGCCCACAGTTTCTCTTTTGTCTTCTGAATGTCATGGATCCGAAGCCTCCTGTGGGTGATCAGCCCACCCAGGGGACCAGAGCTCAGATATGACTTATCATCAAAAGCCCAGAGAGGGATTATGACCTCCTGCCTGCAACTCGTGTCTCTGACTCCTGGATCACCGGCTGACGGTGTTCGGTTTTCATCTTGCCTTTCATTAAACACATTAAAGACATATAAAAAAGGAAACTATCCAGATGACCTGACTGAGAATTATTGGATTTGATACCTGGATAATTGAGCATGAACTTTGTTGACAGGGAGGAATTGTTTAGTTTTTTGTTGTATCTGATTTATTTCTGCTTTGTTTTCTTGTTTTTGTTCGTCAAGCCAGCACAAATACAGTATATTGGTGTCCAGCACTTTTAAAGCCTATCCATCGCCTGTTTGTTTTGTGTTTCGGGTGCCTCAGGTATGGGAAGAGGTCCAGTCCTGAGGTTCTTGACACACTGATCTCAGAACTGCTGTTGAAGGAAAGCAGAGACACACTCCCACAGTCAAGGTAGGGATGTCTTCCTCAGAAATTAGAAACAAAACTCCTCAGTGTAGACATCCCAAAATCTGTTCTTTTGACCTTCCTCTCTGCAGGTACGACCCATCGTTGTGGTGATGTCATCACTCTCCTGCACCTGGTCACCTCTGACACTCTGACCCCCTCATGCCTGTCAGTTCATCCAAATGCCACTCAGTCTCTGCAACTTCTAGCTGCATTTTCCACATCTTGTCTTCACGCATAAACCATTTCCTATAGCACTCAACATGCCATGACTGTAAAATAGTTTCTTCAAAGTCATTATGTGTGAAATATAAAAGAAAAGTGGAGGAAGGGCATGTTGATTGTATTGTATATTTGTGCCAATAAAGGTTCACTGTTTGAACAAAAGCCTTTTGGCGTCTGTTTGATGGGCAGAAATGTGCATAAATTACAAAAAAAGAGTCATGGGAACTGAGAAAACATGAAATTCTAGCATACAATGACTCAACAAACACATGATTGAAGCTGCTCGCTTTCTGCAACATCTCAATCATTTAAGGAAAAACTATTGTGACTCAAAAATGTGAAAATTAAAAAACAAAAGGGATTTGATCTCCAGAAGTTTTACAGCTTCATTTAAATTTTTGTAATTTAAATTGAACTAGCATTGTGTCCTGCTGATTCATTTGCATTTAGTATTTATTCATTTTTGTGATCCTTAGTCTGTTTTATTTTATTATACTGCACACCCTTCTATTGTTTAAAAGCACTTTCTTAATGAAACGTCAAATTGACAAACAAAAACTATGAGGAATTACATAAAGACATAAAGTCAAATAAAATGGCTGGAAACAATTTGCAGAAGTGTCTAGTCAAATTAATAAGGTAAAGACCGTTCTTTTCAGCATGTGGCACAGTTTCATTTATTTTTATTTTAAACTTTCAGTGTTTCCCCACATGATGAGATCCTGCTGTGGTACACCGTCCCACTCTTCTTAAAGCCAGCACCAGTGGGCCTCTTTGAGTCCATTAAGTACAGCATTATAAAAATATAAACGTCCCTCCTGAATTTGTCCAATGGGCAGCCAATGGCGTCCTCTTGTGGTCCTAAAGGATCCCTGCTCTGGAACCAAACTGCTGATAAAGCTGGGCTGGTTCTGTTATCAGTGATGAAGATGACGAAGATGCTTGTGCAACATCTTAACCAAAGATATCAGATGAGTTTTAGACCTCTGACAACAATGATCCGCTCGTTATTCATCAGTTCGGTGATGTTACAGCCAGCCATGAAACTAAACGTCTCTGAATGGACATTTTAATGACTGGGGATGACAAATTATTTTAGAATATTATAAATATGGTGCTGCCTGCTGTTAATATTTAAAACTGATTTAAATTTTAGTCCTTAAATGTGTTTTGAATTTGCGTTGAAGGGATCGTTCAGGGCAGCCCAGTGGTACAACTGGTAGAGCTGCTGCGTCTCAGTGAGCAGGTCCCTGGTTCAAATCTCGGTCCAGGGGCCTTTCTGGGTGGAGTTTGCATGTTCCCTCCGTGCATGTGTGGGTTTTCTCTGGGTACTCTTGTTTCCTCCCACAGACCAAAAACATGCATGTTAGGCTGATTGGTAACTCTAAATTGTCCCGGTGTGAGTGAGTGAATGGTCAGAATGGTTGATTGTCTCTATGTGTCCCTGTGATGGACTGGAGACCTGTCCAGTGTGTCCCCCGCCTCTCGCACAGTGATGGCTGGATATGGGGACCAGTGACCCGCGCGACCCAAAGAGCAAGAAGCAGATCAAGTGAATGGATGGGATGTTTTGAAGAGAAACTCTGCAAAGGTCAGAAAATGGTTCTTTCAGCAGCTTCAGTTTTGAGGAAAACAGTTCATTGTTGATAAAATGTGGATCGCAGCCATCTTCAAACAACTTAAATCAGAGAAGTTCAAGAAAACTTGATTTTTTTTTTACTTATCATTGCTGTCAATTTTGCCTGATACAATTATTCTGTAAATATTCTCTGATACTCCTGTTGAAAATGTTTCGGTCTGCACCAGAGGGGCTACAGCTAACTGCTGCTGCCACTTGTGCTCGCAAATGAGTAAGTATAATACAAATTCACAGCAATGTAAAAGTTTAACTTCAAAACATTTGTTTTTTTTTATTGACCCTCCATTAATCTTTTCAGCATTACACCCCATTTCTCGAAACTAAGATCATTCACAAAGTTATCTACAACAGGTAAGATATTAACTGTTCACTATATTTCCACAGTAACACACTTCAAAAAATCTGAGCTAATTCTTTAACAGTAAAACTGTAACACTCATTCAAAAGTACTGTTATTAGAAAAAATCTGAATCAATAAAAGAAAAAAAATCAAGTGTTTTAGTTTTCTCTACACAATTAGCAAATTATTTGAAGATTCAATTAGATGAATGTGTTTGGTCAATTAGATCCTTTTTGTCCGTCCATCAAAAAAAAAGTCACTAATCTCTGACTGACTCAACAAATTGCAGAAGTGAGGACACATAAGTGTTCGTCACGCAGCATTTTATGGTGACTGGCATGAATCTTTGCAGGGATTTTAAATAAATCAGGATGTAGGGAGTCATTTTTTACTGCAAGATCAAGATGGAGCTGCAAGAAAACACAACTTCTGTGCAACAAGTCTTTTGTGGAGCAACATTAAAAATGATTTTTGGTTTAAAATGTGAGCCTGTTTGAAGAAACTGTCAGTGTCTGCTCTGCTGCAGAGAATAATCAGGTTTCAAGATGCAAACAAGATTTCTGACAGATCCGCCAACATGACTGCTGCACATCAGAAAAGAAAGACAATCATTATTTATAACCTAAATCTTAAACATTTATGTGATGGGGGAAAAAAACTCACAACTGACTGCAGATTGTGCTGCAACAGACAGTCTTTGTCATAAAAACGGGAAAGAATAAGAATTTGAGTTAAAAAAAAATATCTTAGTTTCTTTTATGTAAAGTGTTGTGAAAAGAAAGGATGTGATCAAATTCATAAACATCTCAGGGCTGAAGTGGTTCTGTACAAAATAATGTAAAAACCTTTCAGTGAGATGTTGTGTAGAGCAGATCTACAACGATCACAAGGGCATATATCCTTGAAGGGATGCACATCACCCTATGGCTTCATTAGGGTAAGATGAACTTTTCATAATAAATGTCAAAATTGCAGACTGTTTAGGTCAAACCTAAACAACATCATCTTACTCCTCACAGCGGCATCTCATGCAATCTGTTGGTGCTTTGAAAAGTTGTTGTGCATGACTCTCAGCCACTACCACACCAGATTTTAGCTCAGATGTTAAGTTATGGCCATTTTTGTGTTGGCTGAGGTTGAACAGCTGCAGTGGCCATCTTGAGTTGGATTAACTCCAGAAGTTGATCAGTTAGAAGTGCATCCATTGGTTGATTTCAGAGTTTCATTAAAATCCATCCAGTGGTTCATTTTGCTAACTGAAAAACACATGCACTCCCGCAGTTAGTTAGAGCTCTGAGCTTGAGTTGAAGATAACCTTCCGCTACTATCACACCAAATTCTCTCATTATCGTTTTAATTGGCAGCTGTTGTAGTGATTTTTGTTTTTTTTCTAATGGATCAGCTGTGGCGGCCATCTGACTATATTATTGATATATATATAAGTTAACCAGTTGTAGAGTACATCCAATGATTGATTTCTGAGAATTATTTTAAAATCCGTCCACTTCTTCATTAAATATTTTGCTAACAGACAGACGCATGATCAAACACTAAAGCAATTATCGCCCGCCTTTCTGCGGCGGGTGATAAAGTCACTGCAGATGCTAAAACAAAGAAAAGGTTGATTTGTCTTTCAGAGACATGTGTAATATTTAACAACGTCCCCATGAAAAAGTAAATTAAGAAATGGGTTGATCTGTGCTCCACGTGCATGAGCTGCTGCCTTTCATTGATGAACACAAGCGCCGATGATTGGCGCCGCAGCTTCGATTGGTCGATGCGTGATGACGTCAACGAGTGGGCGGGGCGCGTCTGATTTGATTGACACCATGTTCTCTAGTCTGCTGCGGGACCCGGACGGCCAGCTGAGCGTTTCAGGACCTGGGTGTCTGTAACCGGGACGGTCCGAGGACCACAGCGCGTGGACTCAGAGGTAAGTTGCGTCTCGCGGACACTGGAGAAGCGTGGAGACTCTGAGCTGCTTTTATCAGCTCATTCACACATTTAGACAAAGACAGTCAGAGTTTGCTCCTCTCTGTCAGAACCGGGCTCCGGTCACACCGTCTGGACCCGGTTCTGGACTCGGACGCTCCGCCCGCCCTCCCTCTGCATTTATAAGATGAAGAAGGGTGCGTGGTGTTGCGTGCGCACGCCTCAATGGGTAACACAAAAAATGGCCGCACGTGAGGCGAGAGCTGTGCACGCGTTTGGGCACGGATCAGGTCAACGACCCGAAGGACCAGAGACCTGGGGTCGTCCGGGGGGTGCGAGGGAGGAGGTTGACACAGTAACACATGTGGTCCTCAAAGGTTGTAAATGTGAACAGTTCCTTGTATTAGCCTTTTTTTCTTTTTTCTTTTGTAGAAGTGAACTGTCAGAGAAGAAGAAGAAGACTGAACAATAAGACTGTTGCTGTCAGAGAACCATCATCACGCAGGTCAGAGCTCCTAATGAATGTGAGGAGGGCCACTTCTGTATTTTCTGCTCCTCCCACCTGATCAGAGTTGTTTGTTGTGGAGGACAGACCTGTTCCTACTGTTTCTCCAGTTTCTGCAGAGCTCCTGGTCAGGAAGCATGGGTGACTTTTATTGTTGCCAAAGCAGGAGCAGCTTCTCCCCAGCCCTCATGTGCATTTTCCTTCCTGTCATCCGGGCGGAGGAGAACACGAATTTCAAGTTAAGACACGAGCCCTCCGTGTTGGAACATATGGAGGCTGTCATGAGCAAATCCAAGACTCCGGAGCTTCTTCTTTTCTATTATTAATACTAGATGGTCCAGGAAAGAGGAGGAGGAGGAGGAGGAGGAGGGGTGGAGAACAAGAGAAAAGAAGACCAGGAGAGGAATCACTCACATGAATCAGAGAGCTCTTCTCTTGTACCAAGCTGCTACCCTTACACAAGACTTTCACCCTTACCAGTTCTTGTGACTGTCAGCAGTCAAGAGATGCATTCCAGTGTAAAATGTCATGTTTTGGAAAGAGTTTAGTGTTGAGACTGCAGGCAGGGAAGTAAAGGCAAAAGTTTTTGGCAGTTTATGCTGAAGCTAAGCTGCTGATTCACTCAGTTTCATGAATCAATAAGAAAGCACATTGTCACCACAATAAAAAGAAAACAGCAAAATATACTTAACATGTTCCCTAAAACTGTTTGGTGTTTACATTAAACCATCAGTTTATTAAAAGATTCCTACACCACTGTGACACCATTAGCCTGTTTGTAACTCTGCTGCCTGGAATTGAGTCTTCATGATTACAGATAAAATATCATCTGCATACATTTGGCCCTGAACATCTGCACAATTTTCACGTCATTCATTAATATAAGAGCAGAAGAGCAGGGGTCCTTGAACAGCACCTTATGGAACATCCATTATGTAATTCTGACAGTGTTGCTATTTGTTAGACACAAACTGACTGTAAATTCAGAGCTTTTAGTAACTTCACTATTTCAGTTTTTGCAGAAGCATCTTGTGTCTTTGCAGTTGCTGATTATCATCCTCACAGGACGATTGTGTAAGTGTCCTCTTAGGGCATGAGTTTATTTATCTTTTAGCAAAATAATTTTCAAAAATCTTTTCAACAAAATGACCCTCATGTCCTGCCGAGACTCACGCTGCATGGTACATCAGAGATCCAAGGGGAGTGTGGCAGCTGATGTGTCTTTCTGTTCTGTCTCAGGAGGACGCCAAAGACGTTTTATATAATTGGATTCATGATAGCAGGGTTTCTGCTTTTTGGCATCGGCGGGTCCCTATGTTATCAGCTTTTGAAGAAAACATAGGCAGCAGTTTCAGCCATGGCAAAACTTCAGAGTCTGTGTGAAGGTTTGGTTTGTGCTACGAGTACTCAAAATCAGCTGATTTACTAGCTAAACCCTAAGATAGAAGTGATTTGTGAGAATTACAGGCCACCTGCGGCTTCTAGGACCTGCCAGCATGTTGGAGACATCTTGAAGAAAGCTCATAGCACGGACCAATGGAATGCCCATAAATCTGGCCATTTTGGATGTGGAAAGTACCAGCAGGACTCAAGGCTGACGAGAAAAAAAAGTCTGCCTGAAGAAAATAAACAATCGTGGCTTATCTGAATCTGACTCCCCATTTAGCCTCAGATGTGGGCCGACTATCAAATCTCTCCTGGGACATGGGTAAACTAAGGAAAAAGCTTTGTCTATTGCAAC